GGCGCGCGGGGGGGGGGGGGAGTCTCGCGCGAGGAATTCGGGGGGATTTGCGCGAGGAATTTTGGGGGGGGGTCCTCGTGCAGCGGATCCTCGTGCAAAGGGCTCCTCGCGCGGGGAAATGGGGGGGCGGGGTCGGGCCAGCATTTGGCTTTCCCCCATGCGAGGATTTTGGGGGTCCCCGCGCGAGGATTTTGGGGGTCCCCGTGTGAGAAGCTGGGGGTCCCCGTGCGAGGATTTTGGGGTCCCCCTGCAAGGGCTCCTCGTGCCACCGTCTCCTCGTGTCACCAAGAGGAACTGGGGGGGTCCTCGCGCCAGAGCCCCTCGAGTGTCACCAGCTCCTCACCGAGGGCTCCGAGTGCCACCCGGAGGAATTTGGGGGGCTCCTCGTGGCCCCGGGACCTGCCCAGCCCTCGTGCGAGGGTCCCGAGTGCCACCACGTCCGAGTGCCACCAAGAGGAACAAGGTTTGGGGGGGGGGGGTCCTCGTGCAAGAGCCCCCCGAGTGCCACCAGCACCTCGTGCCACCAAGAGCCCCCTGAGTGCCACCAGCCCCTCGAGTGCCACCAGCTCCTCGTGTCACCAAGAGCCCCTCGAGTGCCACCAGCTCCTCGTGTCACCAAGAGCCCCTCGAGTGCCACCAGCTCCTGGTGTCACCGGGACCTCGTGCAGGAGAGATTGGGGGGGGGTCCTGGTGCCACCAAGAGCCCCCCGAGTGTCACCGGGACCAGCCCAGCCCCGTGTCACCGGGGTCTCTCTCTGTGTCACACGCCACCGTCGGGCACCCACCGGGACCCGCCCCCCCCGAGCACCGAGACCCCCGAATTTCACCGTCTCGTGCACCGGGACCCCCCTCAGGACCCCCCCTCAGGCATCAGGACTCTCGAGTTTCCCCTCCCCCCGTCCTCGTGCACCGGCACCACCGGACCCCCCCGAGGAACCGGGACCCTCCCCCAGCGCACCGGGACCACCAGGGGCGGGGCCTGGAGGGAAATGAATGAATGAATGACGCACAGAAAAGGGGCGGGGTCTGGAGGGAAATGAATGAATGAATGACGCACAGAAAAGGGGCGGGGCCTGGAGGGAAATGAATGAATGAATGACGCACAGAAAAGGGGCGGGGCCTGGAGTTCATGTTCGGACTCAGTGTTCATTATTTCCCACCAATGCCACAGTCCCAGCGCCGCGAGCTCGGCAGCTTTTCGTTAACAAGGCACCAAATGGCAACAGTCTCCTGTTAGGGGGTCTTTCGAGAGTAAACTCTCCAACTAAGAGCTGACACCTGGATTATTTTCCCTTTTAACCCAGTAGCTGATCCCAAAGAGCCACAACGAGGAATTTCTGCCCAGAGTGCCACCCAAACCCAAGAAGAAGGAATTATTTTCCCTTTTAACCTAGTAGCTGATCCCAAGGAGCCACAATGAGGACTTTTCTGCCCAGAGTGCCACCCAAACCCAAGGAGATGGAATTATTTTCCCTTTTACACCAGTAACTGATCCCAAGGAGCCACAATGAGGACTTTTCTGCCCAGAGTGCCGCCCAACCCCAAGGAGAAGGAATTATTTTCCCTTTTAACCTAGTAGCTGATCCCAACGAGCCACAATGAGGAATTTCTGCCCAATCACAGAGTGCCACCCAAACCCAAGAAGAAGGAATTATTTTCCCTTTTAACCCAGTAGCTGATCCCAACGAGCCACAACGAGGAATTTCTGCCCAGAGTGCCACCCAAACCCAAGAAGAAGGAATTTCTGCCCAGAGTGCCACCCAAACCCAAGAAGAAGGAATTATTTTCCCTTTGAACCCAGTAGCTGATCCCAAAGAGCCACAACGAGGAATTTCTGCCCAGAGTGCCACCCAAACCCAAGAAGAAGGAATTATTTTCCCTTTTAACCCAGTAACTGATCCCAAGGAGCCACAACGAGGAATTTCTGCCCAGAGTGCCACCCAAACCCAGGAAGAAGGAAGAAGAAGCAGGAAGGAGAAACCAACGACACCCTGTGCCCTCCGTCTTGCTTCCATCCACAACACTAAAATACCCCAAACCCTAAATCCCTCACCAAGCGACGCGCCCGCACCGCTCTCTACAATCCATGTCACACTTTTGTGGGTTCTGCTCTATCTGGAATCCAGGAAACTTTCTCCTGGAATGAGGGTCAGACTCAGCGCTGCCCTGGGGGCCAGGACCCCCCAGAGCAGGCAGAGCAATATTCCCGGTGCTCCGGGTTTCCGGGGGCCCGCAGCTGGCGCCGCAGTTCCAGCACGGCCGGCACGGCAGCGCTCGGCGGCGGCGGCGCTTCATCCAGCGCTCGATAACCCACGGCCAATCTCCATCCTGCTGCAGATCTGAGCACGGCCAGACGGGGCTGTTGGAGGCCGAGTGGGTTTTGCTGAGCCCCTCGGCTCTCCAGCTCAGGGTCACTTTGTGGGTGGGGATCACGGCACCTCGGTTCGTCCGGCACATCGAGGCGGCGATTGGTTTTTGTTGCTGCTCCACCCGCAGGAGCCCGGCTGCAGATGGGTTTTCTGATTGTCCAGGCAAGGTGTTCGACTGCTTGACGCCCTCTGTGTCTACAGCAGCTGTGCCAAAAGCCCACCTGAGTCCCTTTGGGTCTCTGTAAAGCCATTCCGGAGAAAATCCGTGCCCAGAACACACAGAGCCTCTGGGCCGGTCACCACAGGATGTTTCTGCCACTCCTTCCCAGTCAGGCTCCCCTCGGCTCCCAACAGGGTCAATGGCTGTGATCCCCCCGTCACCCCAGCAATGGAAAGAGGTTCTGCCCCACATGTCCCGATGGTCTCAGGGTACACTGAGCACCACTACCAACGAACACTTCGTATTTCTGTGGCTCTGATGAGCCAGGCCATTGGATCCTCACTGTCTGGAATTCCGGTTTTCCCGTGCCTCTCCCTGGCTACAGGCAGGGCCCCTCCAGCCCTGGTTATTATTTCTTTCCTGGGCATGCATGCCAGAGGTTCCTTCAGGGGGATCTGACAGATCATACCTGGCAGCTCGGCCATGGGAGGTTGAGGCTGCCTTCACTTTAGTGGAACTCCCTTTGTTCGTGTTTCCCTCCCTGAGCTGATGCAGCCGTGCTGCCAGGACAGAAGTGTGTTTGCCATCCCACCTTCCCATGTCTGCCCGTGGTCATGCAGGGAGAGCCACAGGTCAGCTCTCCCTCCCTGTCCAGTTTTGGGGTGCACCCTCTGTCCAGCTTTGGGGTGCACCCTCTGTCCAGTTTTGGGGTGCACCCTCTGTGTGCAGCTTTGGGGTGCACCCTCTGTGTCCAGCTTTGGGGTGCACCCTCTGTGTCCAGCTCTGGGGTGCACCCTCCCTGTCCAGCTCTGGGGTGCACCCTCTGAGTCCAGTTTTGGGGTGCACCCTCTGTGTCCAGTTTTGGGGTGCACCCTCTGAGTCCAGCTTTGGGGTGCACTCTCTGTGTCCAGCTTTGGGGTGCACCCTCTGTCCAGTTTTGGGGTGCACCCTCTGTGTCCAGTTTTGGGGTGCACCCTCTGTGTCCAGCTTTGGGGTGCACCCTCTGTGTCCAGTTTTGGGGTGCACCCTCTGTGTCCAGCTTTGGGGTGCATCCTGTGTGTCCAGTTTTGGGGTGCACCTTCTGTGTTGCACCCTCTGTGTCAGACATGAGCCGGCTTTGGGCCGTTGATCGCACTCTCAAAATGTCTGTGAAAAACGCCGATCACTTGTTTTCAGAATTTTAAAAGTTTAATTGTAATAAAATGGTTATAAAAATAGTAATAGAGTAATAAAAAATGGAACAATTGGGATTAGGACAATACAAGGCAAAAAACCCAAAGAGTTACGGACAGTCCAGGTACCTCTTTCTGGGCAGAATAAGCCCAAAAAAGGACACACGTTAACAGAGGATTAACCCTTAAAAGCAACAGCTCATTGCATATTCATACACCTCATGTATGATGCATAAATTCCATTCAAACAAAGGATTCTGTCTGGTCAGTGTCAACTTCTTCCTCTTAATCCTGACATGAGGCGGGAAGAATTTCGTTTCTTCTGATAATGGAGCAATAAATTCTTTTTCTCTGAAAGGTTTAGGTGTCCTGTGGCTGCTGTCTCAGTGTGAATGCCTCATTCCTCTCTTTAAAAAAAGTATCTTACACCGCATAGTTTCTATTTTAACATTATGTTATAACCTATAACTACACTTAAAACACTACTTAATTAATACAGCATAACTTTCTGACATAACACATCTAATATTCATTTTAATATTTGCGAAAAGCCAATCACAAAATACACATTTTTCTCACTATACATAAGCATTTTGTAGCTTTGTTGCAATATCTCTTAGCTTTACCACAACTTCCTCTATTTTATTCCAAGCCCCAGTCTTGCTACCCCATCTTTTTTACTCTACTGTACTTTTATTTTGATGGCTATTTGGTCAGAAAGTTTCAAAACCTTTCTCTGTGGATATTTTCGACACAGCAGACAGAAGCATTTGCTGATTCCGTTGCTAATTGACACGAATCCCAAAAACGTTTTTCACACGGGGGCGGTGGGGGGGGAAGG